CGTTCACTGACGAGCAGACCACGAACACAACGTTCACTGACGAGCAGACCTCGAACACAACACAGAACTTTTTCTTCGCGCTGCGGACGATGACGTCGCGACGTGTCGAGCGACTCCAGCCTCCTCCTCTAAAAGTCGCTGCTTGTGATGTTTCAGAAGCAGCTGTTTGGACGTTCTCGTCTTTGTTCAGGCGTTCGAGTCAGGACTGGGGAATCGCCGGGACCGCATCGCCAACACCTCCGATAATATCACGATACGATACTGTGATAATCAATAAATGGCTAAACGATATTAAACACTTGTGGTGAAATGCACCTGCTCAGCTTGTTGCAAAGAGTCGTGAAGCAACAAATTAAAAACGATTTAAACGCGTGGTGTCCATTTGTTGCAGGTTAAATCTGTTTATCTGACCTGGGTCTTCAGTTTCCTCTGATGCTCATTAAAGTGCATTTATTCCACCTGCACTGGAATTATAATCTCTACAGATTATGATGCAAAGCCTAAAAGGTTCTGCTGTTATCGGTGTCTAAAATATTTGGACACCGGCTGCTGTGAGCAGTGAACTCCTGGATTATTTTATAAATTAAATAAAATAATCCAGGACTTTGCTTTGAGATTTGTGTCGGTGCAGAACGAGTTCAGGACGTGGTGAAGCTCCAGATGTTCAGGACGTGGTGAAGCTCCAGATGTTCAGGACGTGGTGAAGCTCCAGATGTTCAGGACGTGGTGAAGCTCCAGATGTTCAGCTTTAAAAGCTTCTGAAATGAAGGAGCTGCTTTGGTGACGGTGATTCGTAGAGAAACCGTGAGCTGTTTACTGACAGCTGAAAAAATGGGATTTTTCATGCTTCGCAGTGGAACGTTTGAGGCCGGAGCTCCTAATGGACTCTGTGGTTGTGGTCATTTAGCGTAATGACATTCAGTCTCCACAAACGCAGCTCCGATGGGACCGTCGTTCAGCTCCTGCAGAATTCTAACAACCGGACTTCATTAACTACAAAACACGACTCGTGACTTCACCCTAGTTTGGTTTTTCAGTGTTTAAACTGCGACTGCTGAGTTCAGTAAAAAGATCCTCCGTGGATTTTTATATCTGTACGACTGTTCGAACCCGCAGTCCTTAAACGTTTTTTAATATTATCACCAACCTTTGAACAGCAGGAAATATTAATCCGTCTGATTTTAGACCGTAGGCCTGATTCCAGAGCGGAGCGGGTTTCTTTATTGTGGAACCACACGAAGACTTGTCTGTAATCGTTTTGTCTAATTAGTTCAGTAGAAGTTCAGTGTACGGTACTTTAAGAGAGTTGGGTCGTAGTTTTGAGACGCGGGAGACAAAAACACTGAAACATGATCGAGGTTCATATTTTCACATGGTTGAAATCCTGAAAGATAAATGTCCGTGTCTGTAAGTTTGTAAAGAAGAAAATAAATAACGTAAATGTAGCGATTTAAAATAAAGTGGGTTAGTACCAGCATCGTCTACTCTACTGCATTAGTATTTAAACGATAAATGATATAACCGTTCTAGAAATGTTGTAATACCGTGCCGTGCCTCCGGGTGGCAGTGATGTCAGTGACTTACCAAATTACGTTTACGGATCATGTTCGTAGTTTGGCTAAATGCTACTCCAAGAACCGTTTTATTTCCTTTTAACGGTTTAAGCACATGACTAAAGTTATTTGTAAAGAAACGGAGATTAAATAAATCGAAGCAGGAAAACAAAACGGGATGAAAATGCTCCGTTTTTATTTTTTTTTATTTTTACCCTTTATTTATCCAGGTCGTCTCATTGAGCCACGAGAACTCATTTTCAACAGAGACCTGTTTAGGAGCAGATGGGGGGGGGGGGGGTTTTAAAGGGCCTTGCTCATGGGCCCAGAGTGGGGTGAATGAGGGTGGAGGCAGGTGTGGGTGTTCCACCTTTCCCACCC